ATTTTTATTAGAAAATTTATTTCAATAAATATAAATTTATTTTTTTACATTTTCCGTAACTTTGATATTATCAGTAATTTTTATCAGGCCGAGGTCATTGACTTAGTGGACTCGGTCTTATGTTGGTTAAGGTCTTCGGCTTTGTGGCCTTGGTCTTATGCTGGCCGAGGTGCTTTCAAGCTCTCAACATTGTCGAGGAGCTCAGTGGCACCTAGTCTTGGAGAGCTTCATGCTCTTTGATTGGGCTAGCTGTGGTCCTCGGTTAGCTTTGCTCCGGCTACAAGTTGGGAGGGTGCACGAAGTTCAATGGTCGTCCTCTTGCCATAATGTGGCGGGGATGCTGTTCCCATGGTTCTAGTCGGGGGCTTGTTATGGCCTCAACCGTTTGTAGTCGATCGGGTCTTTCGTGTGGTTGTCACGTTGCGATTGTTGGTCAACGCGGAGTTCGGCCACTAGAGTTCAGCCAAGTTATTTGCGGGCACTTGATCGTTTGTGCTTGAAGAAAATTCTTTATTTATTGAATTTGTATAGCCTAGTCGTCGTTAGTGCTCAACACCGATTGTCGTGTGTACATCTTAGTCTTGACACTTTGGCTCCTGTGCCTAGTTTCCCCTTTTAAGGTTCATCCCACCTAAGATGACGATGATGACCCCAACCGTGGGAGCTCAGGCTAGGGGCTCGTCGGTGCAGTTCAGTTCTTCTCTGGGTTTATGCTCTTGCCCACAAAGGTATCTGCGTCAGACGAAGTCTTCTTGGTGGTGGCGAAGGTCTTGGCAACTTTCTGTGTTGTGGCCATGGTATCGGTGGAAATTGCAATACTTGTCTCGATTTCTCTTGTTTCCTTGGGTTTTCATCTTCTCTGTCCACTTGACGAAGTTGTGGTCGCGAATTTGCATCAATATGTCGGCCCGTGGAGCGTTGAGTGGAGTGAAGTTATGATATGTTCAATGGCAAGGTCCCCAATCTGCGATTAGGTCAGTGATCTTGCCTCTTGGCATCTCGGTCCGATCTTTAGCCATCGTGGCCTCAGCACTTTCGGTTATGCTGGCCTTCATTCTCCCTACGTAGTGCTTGGACTTCTTCGACATCCATATACTTTTGTAGGTTTTTCATGAGCATGGTCAGGTTGGGTGAAGGGTTCTTTTGCAAAAAGAAGTTGAACATCGAGAAACACAACCCACTCATGATGGTGATCACGACCACCAACTAGTCTAAAGTTCGGACTTGGAGGGCCTCAGCATTGAACTTCGCCAAGTATTCCCTCAAGGTTTCTCCTTTCTTCTGTCGTACTTGCATGAGGCTGGCCAATGTCTTCAAGTGCCTTTGGTTGGTAGTGAACTATGCCAGGAACTGTGTCTCCAGCTGTTCTCAGGAAGATATGGACCGGATGGAAGGGAAGCATACCAGGATCTAGTGACTCCGTGGAGGGTGGCGACAAAGGCCTTGCACATGAGGCCCTCGAAGGAGCTGTGTAGCATCATAATCGCCTTGAACCCTTCAATATAGTCATTTGGGTCCGAGGCCCCATCATACTTCTCAAACTGAGGAGGTCGTCATCTGGCTGGAAGAAGCTCGTCGACGATTTCTTGGACGAAGACGGGCTCTTTTGTAGGCTACTGACTGTGACATTGCTCTATTGGTTGGGCCACCATAGGAGCCGTACTGCGATCCGTTTGGTTGTGTTCAAGCTTGGCCAATCATTTTCATAGGTTCCTGATTTTGGCGTCCCTTTCCACTGGAACCACATTGATGGACTTCTCTTCTTTTGGAGCCGCTTGCCAATCTTGGACTAATCTGGATTCGGCTATCAAGATTGGAAGTTGTTGCATGCACTAGCCAAGTCGTTCTCACACTAGAACCCTTGTGTCAGAGCGATGTGATTTATTGCAGGTGTCACGCACATGAGGCCGAGTTGGGGGGTCAGACCTCCAAGATGGCTGTGGACACTTGTGGTCAGACTGGGCCCCGTGCCAACCTATGTGGCACCTTTTGGAATCCTCGATGCGAGGATCGATCGTGGCAAGCACCTGCGCGGCAAGGCAACTAACTGGCTTAGGTTGCGTGCGCTAGTGCGCTAGTTTCCCATCGTCTCCATCATGATGAGGATACGGTCAACTTTCTACTGTATGGTGAGGAACTGTGTGGGGTCGACCATTGTCTGATGATGGGGCTCTCGAGGAGAAGAGCTGCGAAGTGGGAAGGATCCCCTAGATGGGGAATGGGCTTCAAATTGGTTGGATGTATTCTTAGGCATGGTTGTTTTTAGTGCACGGAGAGGGGTTTGGGAAATGACTTTTTGTTTGTTTCCCACAGACGGCACCAATCTGATGCTACCTGATTCGAGATGTTTCGATCCGAGGACACAATCAAATAGTCTTGCCAATTGGACGAAGCCAAGGTGGAAGGACAAAGCCGTGCACCGAGATCTACAACCAAGAGAAAGGTTAAAGGCCCAAGGAATTGTTCCCCAGGTAGGTACTCCGACGGTCAAGTCAGTTGGGTAGAGAAAGATGTGGTCGGGCCGAGCAGGTTGAGATAATGCTAGTCCAGGCCAAGAAGATAGTACAGAGAGGTATTTAAAGAATGTTCTTCCAAAAAGTCCCTTACCTAGAGGAGGGAATACCTATTTATAGTTGGGTGTCCATGTCCCAGATGGATAGTGCTTTCGGGGTTGTTAGGATGAGGGCGTCCGCCGAGGTCTTCGAGAGGTTTCCTCTTCCCTAGTGGAGTCCGCTTCCTTGTCTATACATGACACTCCTTCTTAGTCAAGCCCTACCATTACGCGTGGTATCGACGTGGCTTGAGAGAGGGGACAACCACAAAGATTGCTAGATGGCATCCTTGGCCAACCCAACCATCACCCAAACATGACTGATGCATAAGTGATATTTGAGTTTTTTCACCATATTTTTTATCTCATATGCACGTGTTTGTGCTAGGGTTGTTCACAAACAATGTCAAACCGACCAAACCGGCTCGACCCAACCCAATTTGGTCAGTTTTTCATCACCATAGGTCGGATTTGGGTTGTGAAGAGGAATAAACCGATAATTCAGTTCGATTTAGGTTTTCATGTGTGAAAACCAAAACCGAAGTGAACTGAACCGAGTTAGTTAGCTTCTGATTTCCTAGTCTTTCCCTAACTAGGTAATCCCTATCCTGTAGCCGAACCATTCAGCCCATCACAAGCCCATTGGTCTTTTGAGTATCTATGAATGCCAAATGGCAAATGCAGCCTTAATCATGGTGTGTAATGAGTCAAAAATCAAACTTGAATTGAATCTTCTAGTTTTGGTATGCATTGGACCAAGTCGCATTGAATCCAATGATAAACCAATCAATTAAACCGGTAAACCGACCCTTCATGTTTGGGTCGATTTTACTTAATGGCAGATCAGTTTTGGTTTGCTCTTTAAGTAACCTGACCAGGTCAGATCAATTGAAAAGAAAAATCTATTAAACCAGCCCAACCCGACCCATGAACAGCTCTAATTTGCACGTATCCCTCAAGTAACACAAGGCAACACTAGGTTGATACACAAGCTATCTAGCTTGGCTGAAAGGTTTCTACCTAACCTGACCTAATTAAGTGCACCCACTGCACTGTAAATTTACCTAACAATAGTTGAAACTTGGAGGTTTAATGGGCATTAGGATAGACACCATTTTTTTTCTGGTTTTTTTTTTTTGGCAAATAAGATCATAAGATATGGGAATGAATTGATTACCACATCAGGTCACATGAAACTAGAGGCTCAGGTTACAAGGGTATAGAGCACCTAAGGTCCCCACCCTTTCATGTCATGGGAGATAAGATCATAAAGAGAGATCCAAGGTCATTAAGTGACACGCATTTATCCTATATATAAAACAAGGTGGTCCATCAGACGGCCTCTCCTTTCTCCAAACCCCCCATACTCCCATTCCCCTTTCCCACAACTCCTGAACTGTCGAGTCATCAGGTATAATCCCATTTTTTGGATGAATGAATGTATCTAGGAATAGAGTTTCCGAGAACGTGATTACTGAGTAGCTAGGATTTTAAGAGGTTTTAGGATTTTTCTCTTTTTTTTTTCATTCCAGCACCATCTTTCTCTCTGTTCTTTGATTAATTCCAACCGTTTACCTTATACTTTGGGTAGTTAAATTAATTTGTGAAACCAGATCAGTTTCAATAATTATTGATATTATTGAATATTATTCAGTAAATATTAATACCTAAACTATATTTTTCTGTAATTTTGCTAAATTGGAATTTTAATTACTAAAAATTACATGTTGAAAAGTAGATTTTAGTAATTTGATTTCAGAAATTTTTGAAAATGAATTATTGAAATCAATAATTACTTAAAATATTAATAAATAAAAATTTAATAATTAAAATTATCAGTATTTCAATAAATACAAATTTATTTTTTACATTTTCCATAACTGATATTATCAGTAATTTTTTAGCAATAATTAGTTATTTATTTTTTTAAGTAATTTTAGTCAATTTATTAATATTTAATGATATTAGTAGATAATAACTAAAATTCTTTGATAGTTTTCAATGGAAAACTAATTTTAATAAGTATAAATTTATTTTTTACATTTTTAGTAATTTTGATATTTACCACAATTTTTGAGCAATAATTAGTAATTTTGGTAATTTAATTAATAAAAATTACTGACTATGGCAATTTAATTTAGTGAAACTTAAATTATAAGACTTTTAATTATTCAAATTAATAATTGAAAATTTTGTTATTTGGGTTAGCCAGGTTAGCCAAACCTACACCTTATTTGGGTTAAATAATCAAAATTCTAACGTGACGATACACCCTAATAAGCTTGACCCTAACCTGATCATGTAGGGGTGAGTCAAGTCCCATTGGCATTCCTATGCGAAATTAGTCGCTCTCACTAGGGTTTCAATTTGGATTGTTGTTAAAACAATTAAGCATAACTTAAAAATATAATACTTGAATTGGCTTAGATTGATTTAGATCAATTAAAAATGTCATAAAGGCCCTTTCTACTTCAATTTTGCGTTATAAAGACCGTGCCACATGGGTTCCCACTAGTATTATATATAATACAGAAGAAATAATCTATATATTTTAAAATAGTAACATGAATTAATGGAAGTAGTATAGTTATATATTGGGTTGAAAGGAACAATCAAGCCCAATAGGCCAGGATAGACATACAAGCAGCCCCAAAAAGAAGTGAGATGTTAGCAATTATCTGAAGCCTTCCATTGCTTTGCATCTTGGGGTCCATGAAATCAGCTGCAAGCAAATCAACAAGAGCCATATAAATCAGGATCCCAGATGATGCAGAGTCAAAGACCCCTTCAACACTGAGAGAGGTTGAGCTATTTGCATCATACACATTTGTTATTCCTATACCCACAGCGATCCCAACTGGGGTGGTGAGAGAGAAAAAGACTGCCATAATTGCCACCGCACTACTCTTGATTCTCGCCTGCAGACAGCATTTGCAAAAAAAGAATGTTTCTTTATCTTATAACTGCAATTCAAAATTAATACTAAATTATTTAGCCTTCAGCTTCATCACTGATGTAAACAACATAACCACTTGCCCCTTTTTTCTCTTCTATTGTCAACTAGTAAGCTGGTCTATTTCTTTAATAGTATAAAAATATACAATTAGAGATGCTTGTTTCAGAATATATATATATATATATATATATATATATTAACCGTCATATCAATAATAATAGAAAGAGAATGAATGAACCAGTGGTAGTTGAGCCAAACAACTTCTTTTACAAGTAATCTAAGGGCTCATTTCATAGGCTGTCTGCCTGTTTCAACTCTCAATTTAAGAAGCTGAGTGTTTTTCACTTTTTTGTGATTGGGGCATGGTTTTCAAAATCGGACCGGACCGGACCAGATGGTCGGATCGGAAAAAGGGGAATCGGTCAAGTGATCGATTCCGATTTTTCTCAAAACTAGATTTTTGCTAAAAACGTTGATTTGGTCAGTAAATCGCTGATCTGGACAGCTGAATCGTTCAACGATTTTGACTGTTTTTTATTTTTTTTTGTCAGAATGGGTCGTCCATTCGGTTCGAACAGTCGAACCGTTCAACCCAGGAACCGGACCCCTGACCAGTTCGTTGTCTGAATCGGTTTTAAAAACCTTGGATTGGGGTATATAGTCCATTGTACACGTCTTGTTTTTAACAAATTTAGAGTTAGCATATGGAAAGAGTCAAGCAATTGATTTTGTTATTAAGAGCCTATTTGGGAGGGCTTCTGCATTGATTGAGCTGTTTCGGAGAAGCTAAGTGAGATAGTTTCATCAGAATGTCCATTTTGCGGCTTCTAAAAGCTTAGATTGGGGTATATATATGTATGTATGTTTGTATATCAGACAATACAATACATATTAGTTTTTGGGAAATATATATCGATATAGGGCAGGGCTGGAAATTTAGGAGTGCAACTTGGGTGAGTTGGGTTTGATAGGTTTTAGATTTTACCAAAATTTGAATGGACCCAGCTCAAAACCCGAATCTGACATAGTGTAAAATATTAATTTAGGTCAACCCGAATTGTACCCCTAGCCAGAATGGCCAATTTTTTATGCCATTCCATCATGCTATACCAACAAAATTGGCCAACAGGGCCTAGACTCCCTCCATTCTTCAAATATATTATCTATATATTAAAGGAAGGTGGTAGTTAGGCTGAAGCCTCCTATTCAAACACGTGGCACTTTAATTTTCATAAAACAATATTTTAAAAGTGGTTAATTAATTATATTTTTCAAATAAAATTTAAAATTCAAATTACTCTTTCAAAATATTTAAATTAATAAATGCATCCTCAACCGAAGAAGAAGCATATAATAAGACCCATTAAAACTACCACAAATAGATGGTTCAAAATTTCTAATATAGAATATTTAAAAAAAATGAAATAATAATTCAGATCATGGGTCCGTACTTAGGACGGGGTCATGCATAGTTTCTAAACAATGGAATCTCTCTCACTAGAAAAGTGACCTGTAAACTTTCTAATCCCACCAGAAAACATTTCCCAAATGTTTCTTTATACTCTTTATCCCATGCTCTGTTGATAGGTTTCTTTCTACTTGTAGTTATCATATTTGACTAAGATAAAAGATCAAACACTAGGCTTTATTTTGTTTACTCTATTGAAAATTGTTTTCATTCCTAGATCATCCCATTCATACCTCACCCATCATGGTTTCAACGTCCATCAGAAATAATTAGAAGCAACGATATTCAATTCTTCTTTGATATTCCTTTCTTGCTTGCTAAAGGGACCATGGAGAGGTAAAATTGGAAACTGAAAAAATTTCAGCCACATTTAATATACGTCATATGCAAATTGATCTCCACAGATTGCTAATGGAGGAGTAGGTATTTGTTCAATGGCATCACCTAATAAGGGAGGTTTCAGTCCTTTCTGAAAAGATAGGAAGGATTTTAATATTTGTATGAAAAAGTTCAAGAAAACCACATAAAATTGAAAAAAAAAAAAATCATAGACTTTGGGCTATGTGAGTGAACCGTGACGATACAACCCTCCTTATATTGGCATATCTTATGACCCCAGGTCCTACTACTTGATGACGGATGACCCTGGACTCTCACAAGCTACTACAACCCTTTGTTAAGAAGCAACAAAGAAACCCTTATAACAAGATTTAATTACATAGCAATCATATCACACATATGTTCTGAATTTTGACTTCCAGAATTTTCTCTTGTTAATGTCTGTGTCAAAAAATTTTTATTTTGATAAATTATCAAAATCTTTATTTTTTTAGTATTAATAATAATTGTATTATATTGGTTTTCTAAGAGAAACTTCACATAAACCATCAAAGCATATGGTTCTTATGTGTATATACTACCTTGTTTATAGCCATCTACAACTTAGAGTTAAGTCTTATTGATGTATTTTATTTTGGGATTTCTTTGACTCCCTAATGTATTTATGTTGTATCTTAATTTTTCCAACATACCCATGCATAAAGCATAACATAATACATCTCTTAAAACTGATTTTCAGATTGCTTTGTGTATACAATGCTTTTTTGAAGTAAAAAAAAAAAAACCGAAAATTAAGCAAAGCTACAAAAAAGGTGGTTGAGGTGAACAATTTAAGTGATTGAATAACCACCTCTGACTCCATAGTTTTTCAAACCAAACATTGCTTTATGGCTTTCTTATGTCTTGAAGATTAAAATTCACCAAAGCTAAGAAGTGGCCAAAGGATATCCCTCCAAACAGTGTTGAAGAAGCCGACACTGAATTTCCCTTTCTCACCAAACGTGCATGATTGGCTTCTTCATGCTTTGGCATTTATTTAAAAACGTCAAAGAAGCAACTGCATAAGCCTCCAAAACAGGTCCCAGAGCCCCTGTGCTATTCTATTAAGTATTAACATAATCGTAGGCTACTGCCCCACTTGTCCCTCCATGCATATATGCACCAGAACCACTGTCTTTTCAAAGTAGAAATTATGGGGAAGGGCTGACCCAATCCAGTCCGTGTTTTCCCACTTGAATTGACACGTGGCATACATCGAAGTAGGGAAGATGGGTTTTCTAACAGGATCGTGCTCACAGGGGATCAGGTGTCAAGTAAACCCTGCTCCATGCATGCATGTATCCCCAAAAAGTTTCAAACTCATCTACTAACATAGTTTTGAGTTATTAACTAACTACTGGAACCATATTTCTCACACTGAAAGAGATGCCTAAAAGGCTAAAAGGAAAAGCTTTAAACCGTAAAGAGGACCCTGCAGATGAAACCATGTGCTAGTGTGTCCTTTTTCATCTTCAGTCAGTTGCTTTGAAAAAGCTTTCACTGTAATGGTTTTTGTTTTTAGCTGAGCAGAATGATTGAGGATTTAAGAACAGTTACAAGGAACTAAACTGTCCTTTTTCATCTTCAGTTAGTTCTATTGTTAGATTTTTATAGTTTTTTACCCAAGATGTTTGTCTTCCATATACTTTACTTTTTGGAAAGGAACTAAACCAAGTTGTTACAGTGTTCAAGAATGATTCTGTGCAACTGATGTAACAGCTTAATTATAAGATAAGATACTTTCCCAACTCCCCCATAGGAAGGAACTGGTGGTTCTGAAGAAGAGTTAAAAGGATACATTGAAACTGATCAGAGAAGATCAACAGAATAAAGTAAGTGCTATTAGAATTGATACCTGAGTGATACAACCACCAAGTCCTATTCCCTCAAAAAACTGATGGAAGGACAAAGCAGCAATAAGAGGCTTTATTGTAGAAGAGCTTTCAGAAGTGCCCAATGAAATCCCAATAATCACAGAGTGTACCACGATCCCCAACTCCAAAACCTGTTACCACAACTATTGATCTATCAATAATGAAGCTCTTTAGGATAAAATTCAAAACCACTGGAACAAGAACTCAAGGATGAAAAAGAAAAAGTAGGAGGAGCTCTGAAATCTGAATCTATTATATTCAAGAAAAAGAGGGAACCATTTAAATCTGAATAGAAATACTGAAAAATATAACAAAGAAGAAAATAGAGCAAGAATACTGAAAATTATTCACTGCAAACCATGATTTATGAAGAAAAAAATATAGAAACAATACCAACAATTAAAAACCCAGATAAAACACAGGATTTTCCAACAACCCATTGGAATGAAATAGGAATAAAATCACGAGAGAAAAGAAGAATACCTGTGATATGATACGATGCCGGAGAAGATCTGAAGAAGTTGAATTCGACCCATGTGCATGACCATGTGTGGCATGTGTATGAACATGAACATGATCCACAGGCTCACCAGCTCTCTCCACATCTCCATTCAGTGGCTGAGCCTTACTGAAGTTTGATCTCTTATAGTAACCAGTGACCAAAGTGTCCACCATCAACGTCCCAATTCCAGACATCATTGCAATGAACCCTGTGAAGGGAAAATTCTGCCATGCCTTCCCTTTGAGGCATGGTGATGTTAATTTCTCAAACGCATTGGGTAGTATATGTATGAACCCAGTTGCTAGGATCACACCTGCTGCAAAGGCCTTGATGATAAAGAAAATATCATTCTCAGGATGTAAAGCTGGGATTGCCTTCCCTAAGACTGGAATACAGACCCCAATTGCACCTGAAATTAGAATTGAAGCAATACCAGCTACTTTATATTTAATGGTCTCCCCTGTGCCACGGTTATTTTCTTTGGCATCACATGTACACTCTCCAGATACCGAGGAAGGAAGAAGAACAAGGAAGAGGAGGAGGAGCAGAGTTGAGATTTTCAAGAAGTTGAATGAACAAGTTGGAAGCCTACTCATGGTGACAACCAGAATGGGTATTGAAGAAGGTGAAGAGTTGAATCAAATACTGCGAAGGTGCATGATGAAACGCAAAGGGCTTTGCTGTTATATAAGCAAAGGAACGAGGAAGGTAAAAAATAGAATAGGAATATAGTTGTTTGAATTCAGTTGTCAACAGAAAAAGGTGGAAATTAGCGTTGGGTTAAGTGAGTGAATATTAAGATAATAAAAGAATTTAAACTGAGACGAAGATTATTAAATGCTTGTGGACTGGACACAAAATGACGATGTTGTCATACAAGCAATTGAAAATAGAGTATTTAGGATTTCAGTGCATAGGTTTTCATTATATTAACTGGCAAAGTCAACTCCGTAATTGTCCTTGTAGTGATAAATTGATAATATGTTATTGATTTATTGCATTACTGGCGCTCTATTTTATAAATATCGTTGGAATAGGCCTTATTATCCAGATAGAGTGTTGGCCTTGTGGGTTTCTCCCTGTAAGGAAAAGCATTCATCAATCAACCCAGATTGATTTATCAGATGCCACAGGATAATCCCTTGGATTTACTTCAAAAACACAGGTCGAACAGTTTGCATAACCCAGTTTTCTCTGGTAAGAGGAACGGGTTGAGGGTATTCTCAGCTCAGTGGGCATTGACGCATGGAGCATTTTCTTTTTATTTTCAACCTTTTATTTTTCTTCCTCCTTTCTTGAGTTAAGTACACTGCAACCCAATGTAGAATTCTGAATGACAGCCTCCATGGTCAGGATTCATCCCCCGTACAGTGTACAGTGGGGATAGAAAATTCTGACCTGGACTGATCAGTCATTCTCCCTTCTTTCTTTCTTTCCTCTTAGGCCCCATTCGTTTACATGTAAATATAAATGGGAAAGTTGGTCAATGAGTAGTTTTTTCCCATTAACCAACTTTCCTACGTTCTTTTTGCATTAAGTAATGGGCCCCTTTACCCATTTTAATAGTTACTTTTTGTGAATAAAAATATCATTTTATTAGTGTACTTACCCAAGTAAGTTGCATTGTTACGAACAAGGCCTTATATGTTTATAGATGACCCATAGCTTCTGATGACTTTATAGCACTAAACCTAAATAAATCAATTTATCAATGAATGTTGACCATATCATTAAACCTCTTTCCTACCAACAAAGAAAAAAAAAAAAACAAGGTAACCTTCCCTTCCTATGGTTAAAATAAAGTCATTAGTTACAACAATAAATACAAAAAACCTTGCCTTGGAAACCTTGTAAGAAAGTTCTGTCAACATTTATATTTTCTTATAATACACATTAAATCTGAATGTCCTCAAAATCAAACAAGAAAAAATAGAATGCATTGAATTCAAAAAAAGTTTAAAAGAAAATACAATTTTCATAGAATACTTAATATACCAATAATTAATTTGGATTCTAGATATGATAGGTTCTTAAAGTAAAAATATGTATTTTTATATTAATATAAATCTATACTATACACGGTGGATGTTTGCCTTGGGTTTCATGTAGGTCATAAAAATTAAATATCCAAATACCATATGTCATATATGGTTAACACTTACTCGTACATATGTACATAGCACATGCTCTTACACTAGTATTAATAATATATACATATATGTGCAAGATATGTATAATTACATACAAACACTCATACAATTCCATATAAAACATGACAACAAGTGTTTTTCAAAAATATACTAGTACGTGCTTTGCATGTGACAATTTTTTATAATAATTATAATGATAGTAAATAAGATGCTTTCAAAATTTTTTACAATTATTTTTTATATTTTTTATGTATAAAAATTATTCTTTGTTGTCACACTTAATATGATGAATATATGATATTAAAGAAATGTTCAAATATTTTTTATAATTTTTTTGTATTTTTTACTTTTGTGTATTTTCATCGTTTTTTAATTTTTATTATTGCTTAACTGTGACATCAAGAGTTGACACATTTTAACCCAAAAGATTGAATTATTGATTGACCACCAAATAGGAAAACAATTCCATTTTTTGGGTTGATTTTTAATTTGTATTTTGTTCTATCATCAATAAAGACAATTATTAATGGTTAATTAATATAGGATTGAACAAAAGAATGAAAGTTAATATTCTAAACATAATACTTAATAAGAGTGAATTGAATGAGGAGAAATGTAATAATTCAAATTATATTATGTTCCCTTACAATTAAAGAGGGACCAATTTCAAAAATAGGGGTATTCTAATCAAGAATAGGATTCAATGAATGTATGAGAGTTAATACCTTAAATATAAGACTTAATGATGGTGATTTGAATGAGAAGAAAAGTAATTGTTCAAAATTTTGAATTACACCTTACAATTAAAAAATGACCAAATTCAAAAATTGGGACATTTTGTTCAAACAAAAGTTTCACTCTCATTGACACTTTTAATAGTAGTATAGATATATACTAAAATGAAATCTTGAACCAATCTCTTACTGTATTTTGTTTGTTAAACTGAAATTTTTATGGTGTTTCTTTTTCTTGGAAACCAAGCAACTAATGCAGACATTTTTTTTGGTAAACAACAATACAAACATTGTTCAATGACATGCCTTAGCCTTAACCCAGATGATTAACCTTGAATACACACAGACAGAGTCACGAGGGAGAGAGGATGATTGGCATTTGAATAAAGGCAAGCTAAATGTCTATGATCTATCGCCATATAGTAAAAAATGGTTGACCCGAAGCCATGCACAAAAATAAATTGGTGTTTCCTCCAATAAACCCAATTTAAGAGAGGAAGTAAAGGCACTAGTAGAACCCATCAACATTTGTATTGTAGGCTTGTCGCACTTTTGCCACTTGATCCCACCAAAACGTTGGAGATATACGTGAACAAAAAACTGAGGCACTAGGAACAGTTAAATCTTTGATAAGCTTTGATGGAACCGATCGACAGAAAACAGTAAGTCCATTTATTTTTAAGGCCTCCACGTATTTAGATAAGAAATTTTGAGGTCCACAACTAGTACTTGTCAGTCGAGAGTCGAGAGGGCAGGACCGAAGGCTAGGCGTCCACATATTCTACTACCTCGTCATATTTACATTAATAGATAGATTTTTTACTGGTTTGGGGCCTTTGTGTCCAATTCAAAGCTTCTTCTCGCTATCATAGCCTTAGGAAAGAAAGGAAGCTGATGAAGCTTGTTACATGCATGTTACAAGAAAGCCCTTATGGCCTTTCCTGATCATTTTCTGTTCACTGTTTTCATAGCATTTTGGCCTTTTTTCTTATTATTCTGAATTGACAAGGCATTATCCATGACAAAGATCATCCTTGCCTAAAGGTATGGACAATAGTGTCAAAGATAACAGAGGAACAAACACATTAGAATATTAGATAAGACGGGTGACCTCCATTCATGTTAAGATAATATCTTGTCTAATGGAAAAGGAAAGGCCAAGAGCAAGCATACTGAGCACCACTTAGCACATCGTGGCCACTCAACGGTACTCCACTCAGCAAGGCCTTTCTCCTCCGTAGACTCGAGACATGGAAGGTCCAAATCTTTTCTCTTATTCGTCTCCTTTTGTCCACCAATCTCTCTCTCTCTCTCTCTCTCTCTCTCTTACTGACCATCAAGAGAGGAAAAGGATTAAAAAAATAAAGATTAAGAGTTGATAATTAAAGGTTATACATTCTCTTTAGAGGGCATTTTGGTCATCAAAGTGGAACGTGTTAGACTAATAATTCATAAGATTAAATTACCCATAAATGATTACATTTCTTTAAGCAATAAAGTGTTCTTGTTCCATGTGATATGATCCCAATCTTCTATCATTCTGTAATTCTTTAATCTATGAGAGACAGTACAGTAGCAGAGAATCTTGAGAATAAAGAAACACTAAATAAAATCAGAAAGGAAGTATTAACAGATTAAGATGGCAAAAGTCTAAAACTGGCAACATTTGAAATGTAATTCAATACTTTTCTTGGCCACACCGTAATGGGCTTTTAAGAAAAATGAGCAAACTAACTAGTTGAGGTTTCGGGTTCCCATTGTATGATTGTGATCCAATCCTTTTTGCTTTTCATATTGACTTTCAACTTTTCACCACCACTCAGATACACACTATACCAACACACACGAGTATACAAAGCTGACCCAAGATTCCATATTAAGTCTCCCTTCTTGTGCTTCTCTCTCCCCTAATGAGTACCAAGACCGCCCATCTAAGTTTGCCTAGTAAAAATAAAGAAAAAAAGTTCCTGGACAATTCAAACAACGAACTACCATTCCTTGATTTCTGAACCCGCAAAACTACCTTGAACAGATGCGATCATAAATAATCAATTATGTACAATCGTTTGATGCTAATGGCTCATTGTTTAAAAATATCATCATTTAAACCTTGTCCCAACTATATAGAGCCACTTACACAAACCTGTTTTACCATTCCATCATCAAATTATGAGCAATTGAATCATTTCTTACTAATTCCAGCAAGTCCTTTTTTGTCTTCCCACAATTCTTCTAACCCCTTCAACTTGTAACAGATTACTTCTAATTGCAGATAGTCTTCTATGCACATGACCAAACCACCTCAGTCCACTCTCTCATTTTATCACCTATTGGAGCTATTCCTAGGTTTCTTTGTATGATTTCATTTCTGATCATATACTTTCTAGTTTTACTACTCATCCATCTAAAGATTATACAGTTCTGTCAATCATTTTTTGGACATGCTATTTCTTAACTGCCCAACACCCTACTCCATACAACATAGTTGGACTGGCAACTATTTTATAGAATTTTCCTTCAAGCTGGAATGGTATTCGCCTATTACATGACTCCAAATGCACCCCCTCCATTTTGCCCATTTTGCTCTAATTCTATAAGCAACATCCTCCCCAATTTCCCCTTTGTCATGAGAACCAAAGTAATGGAAGATATCACACATTATATTAATTTTTGGTCTTCAATCCTAAGTGTATCCTAATTTGCCCTCCTATTATTATTAAATTTACATTGCATACATTCTGTTCTAGTCCTACTTATTTTAAACCCCTTGCTTTTAATGTACTTGTCCATAAATCTAATTTTGCATTCGATCCTTCATAAGTTTAATTTTGCATTTGATCCTTCATAAGTTTCATCGATTAATATGCTATCAACAAACATCAGGCATCACAAGGCTTCCTCTTAA